GCTTTTTATATTCACTGTGGAACCTAAGGGGTTATTCCTCCGCATTGTGTAAAAACGCGGTTTTGATCCTGTCTTCTCTGATCCTCCCCTTCTTCCAGTGTCCCCCTCTTATCTCCTGGTAAGACCTATCGTACAGAGTCACTCTGCACATGTTCAGTTTGGTGTGTATTGCTAGAGAGGTTTTTCTTTTTTTGGAGAGTGCATGCAATCAGCACAGGGCCATTCAGCACTGTCCAGATAGAGTCAGGGGTCATGCAGTCTCATAGGACATACAGAGGCGGAGAGAGCAGGCAGGCAGCATAGTGCTGGATGGAGGGCGGGGTCAGGACGGAAGCTGCTCAGTAATTGGTTGCTGGGCTGTCCTAGGAACTAGTCACCAGCTTACCAGCTCCTGCCGCCTTCCACCCAGCACTATGCTGCCTCCTGCTGTCTGCTCTGCTCTACACACGGGGACAGGTTGGCAGTGCTACCTGTGTGTTTGATATGAAAGGAACACAGGAGACATGGGGGGGGGGGGGGCGGCTTAGGAGACACTGTGGGAGGAGAGACACAGGAGACATTGTAGGGGGGGGCTTAGGAGACACTGTGGGAGGAGGGACACAGGAGACTCTGGGGGGGGGGGGGCTTAGGTGACTCCCTGGGGGGGGGAGGCACAGGGGGCACAGGAGGCACTGCAGGAGGGGGCTTAGGAGACACTGTGGGAGGGGGGACACAGGAGACTCTATGGAAGGGGGACACACAGGAGACCGTGTGGGAGGGGGGACACAGGAGACCGTGTGGGAGGGGGGGACACAGGAGACCGTGTGGGAGGGGGGACACAGGAGACCGTGTGGGAGGGGGGACACAGGAGACCGTGTGGGAGGGGGGGGGACACAGGAGACTCTATGGAAGGGGGACACACAGGAGACCGTGTGGGAGGGGGGACACAGGAGACCGTGTGGGGGGGGGACACAGGAGACATTGTGGGAGGGGGGACACAGGAGACATTGTGGGAGGGGGGACACAGTTAACATTGTGGGAGGGGGGACGCAGGAGACATTGTGGGAGGGGGGACGCAGGAGACATTGTGGGAGGGGGGGCACGAAGGACTCTGTGGGAGGGGGGCTTAGGAGAATCTGTGTGAGGGAGGGACAGAGTAAACTAAAGTGTGTGTGTGTGGGGTGGGGGGGGGGGGGGGTTGATGAGAAATGGACAGAGGACAATGCTTTGGGGGATGGGGAGGCAGAAGACACTTTGTGAGGGGCAGAGAACACTGCTGTGGGGCTGGGTAGAGGACACTACATAGTGTGTGTGTGTGTGTGGGGGGGGGGGGGGGGGTGATGTGAAGGGCAGAATAGGACACTGGTTTTGGAGTACAGGACACTACTGGGGGGAAGGGGCCAGATGATACGACAGTGGGGGGATGTGGTGTGAAGGGGTTATAGGACACTGCTCTGGGGGGGGGGGGGGGTACAGGACACTAATGTGGGGGGCAAGGGACACAGCATTGGGGGTACAGTACACTAGTGTTGGTGGGTGGGGCAGAGGACACTACAGTGGGGGTGGGGCAGAGGACACTACAGTGTGGGGGGGAGGATGATGAAAAAAAAGGGGCAGGACACTACATTGGGGGGTACAAGACACTACAGTGGGGGAGGGAGTGAGTGATGTATAGGGGGACAGAGGACACTACTACTTTGGGGGGGGGGTGATTTTTTTTTTTTTTTAAGGGAGCTGCCTAGAAAACCCCTCCTTTCCCCCAACCAGGGGATCTTTGCTTTACTCCATGTTGTTCAGGTATACCTCAACCTCTGAAAGGTTGCCTACCCCTGCTGTAAGGTACATGTTGACTTTTTTTTTTTTTCTTTACACAATGTAGCTGAATAGTGAAAACCCAAACTTCCGTTTTGTCTTTGAACTCAGGAGACTGACAGTAATATTTTTAGGGTGAATATACTTTTTCATAAAATATATGCATTCAATCAAATTAAAGCCCTACCCACCTCCCTCCATAAAAAATGCATAATATTTTAGGAAAGTCTATACATCATAGAAAAGTTCTTCTACAATGGTAGAGATTCTGTAGTCTCGCAGATTTACATGTGGCCAAATAAATCTCAGGAGACAGATAAGTTGTATAACATGAACTGAAGTCGGGTGTCTAGATGTGTCAGATAAGCAAAGCTACATTTACCATTTTATTGGTAACCAGATATATCGCAACATGGTTAGAAGAAAGATTTAGATATTGATTTCACTTGACCATGTATCCTTGCTTGTCAGTGTGTCATTTAATCATTTATACACTTGGCAACAAAAGCTGAGATCGTTCATATTTGGCCAATCCGTGTGGGGCAAGTTTTTTTTTTTTTAATTGGTAGTCTACGGTAAATAGATACATGTCTTAGGAAGGATCGCTTCCTAAACGGTCAGTCAAAATAGCAGTGATATTTTGGGATCATGTGCCACCTTCTTATATCTCTTAAGTGGGGTACACACTATGAGAAAATCAGACAAATAATTGTCCGATTTTTCCATGAAGGTGCTTATCATGATGTGACCGACTATGGTCAAAAAATACAACAATTCTTGGCCTATGTAGGCAAAAGTTCATTCATGTGTACAATTTCTTTGTTCATTGTCACCTTCTTCCAGGTCATTCTTTGCTTCTGATCATGCACATTTTTTTCTATTCAGTTATTTACGTGCGAGTTCTGTACCTATTGACCAAAACAGGACGTTGTGTTCATGTAGGATAAAAATTTTCTAGCTTGCATTTTTTTTTTTCATCTGAACAGTCAGAATCGGCTGTTGAAAGCTGTATATGAACAATCAGATAATCGACCGATTCTTCCTCGTACAGAACTTTTTGTTCATATTTCCTTATAGTGTGTACCCAGCTTTAGAGACAGCACCTGCATGATTATCCTACTATGGTTCCTTGCTTAGTTCCTGCCTTTCTTGACCTACCTGGTACAATCTTCTTTTAATACAATACACAGGATGGGTGGTCTCACTCAGAAACTAAAATTCTAATGCTTGCATTTTAGATGGCGCTTCTAAACTAAAGCCTGCCATAGATGGTTCGAATCTCTGCCGGTTCAACAGTGACCATGAACCATGTATGGGCAAGCTGAATGTACCCAAGCTGATCGATCAACTTGGGTACAACCATCCTGTCAGATTTTACATGCGATTATTGCTAGCAGCTATTAAAGCCACTAGTAGTAATCTGTCAGGAATGGACTCGCCAATGGTGGTGGGACTCACCTGCCTTGTGGGCTGCAGTACCAGGGCTGGCCAGCAGGTACTCTCAGCAACCAGAAGCTCACTCCTGCAATCAGCCATCACCTGAGGCTGATTGCAGGAGGTGTATTTAAGGAATGGCCAGACCTGTAGTCAGTGCCTTGGTGCTGTTTCCCATGTGCCCTGTTTCCTGTATCCTGTCTCCTGCCTGCTCGACTCTCCTGCTTGACTCTGACTCTGATAGAACTCTCCGCCTGCACTGACCCCGGCTATTCCTGACCATTCTTCTGCCTGCTCCCGTTGTACCTTTCTGCCTGATTGTTCCTGACCCGGCCTGCCTGACCACTCCACCTCTCCAGCCCTGACTGCACCTGTACCTATTAGTTTAAGGTTTGTTTTGTTTTTGCACTGTGTTTGTATTTAATCTATATTTATATATATACATATATGTTTATAATATATACATATATGTATGTTATATATAAATTAAATCACACATAATATATATATATAACATATATATATATATATATAATATATATATATATATATATATATATATATATATATATATATATATTATATAAATTAAATATATATAATAATATAATATGCTATATTATAATATAATAGTATATATATTTTAATGTATAAATTAAATACATACACACACATATATATGTGTGTGTGTGTGTGTGTGTGTGTGTGTGTGTGTATTTAATTTGTGTGTATTTAATCATTTCTGAAGCCTGCTGTTTCCCTGTGTCAGTCCATACATCTCTGGTCATACCTGGATCCCTGACATAATCACTGTGTTCCTCCGGCAGGAATGGCTCCTCCCTGCCCCGCGAACACAGTTGACCTGTGGGAGGGATACCCCCACCAACACTGACCCATAGTTGCAGGAATAAAAATCACTCCATCTATGGCCAGCTTTTGTGAACGTAAAAACAACTTTGTCAATTGGAAAATATGATCACATAGATACATTAGTGGGGGTTTTGTTCAATAATAAAATAATTATTAGAGGTATAGGCAGCTGAAGTTCTGACTTTTCCTTTAAAAGTTGTGCCCTGCCTATTTCTGGATTCTCACTATTTTTTATGCGTGTGTGTGTGTGTGTGTGTGTGTGTGTGTGTGTGTGTGTGTGTGTGTGTGTATATGTATGTGTCTGTATGTATATAATATTGTAACGGGGTTCGCTTAGCAGCGGGTGTGTGTGTGACCCCCCTGGATGGGTCCACAACACAGGCACAGCACAACAGTGGAGGTGAAAAACAAAAAGGTGCAGTTTATTTACAGGAAACCATCAAACCAAAAAGAAACATCAAATCAAACCCTGGCCAACTTGGCTACTTACTGTGCAATTAGCTTCCCTAGCTATCTACCAGGTACAGTCTGATACTATCCCTAGTCCCTGCTAGTTGGAGGCTTAGCCACACAGGCTTTTGTCTCACTGCACACAGATATGTTGCTCCCCAGTCAGTTCAGGCACGGATCTGGTTCCAGGGTGGAGCAACTCCCTAAGCAGCTTGGGAAATATATATATATATATATATATATATATATATTATTTTATTTTTTTTGTGACTGGAAAGTTTGCATTTAAATTCTGTTGCCTTCATCACTAATCTACTGATTGTGGCTTACAACTATGTACTTTTGCATCTTTTTATGACCTATGACTGCCTCAGAAACATATAATGCTTTCTGGAGTTCTTGCTTAATTGAAAGTTTAGATGCTTTTGATAAAATCTGTGACATGTCTATTTTGTATTTTTTGGGTTATTTAGCTATTACATGAATTTACCTGATGAGCCTACAGACAGTTCCTCATCTGAAGATCCTGTAGAGACGGTTGACGTATCTTCATCAAAGACAAACTCTCCACCTATAATCCCCATCTTGAAGAAAGTCAAAGTGCTGGCTGCTTGCCTGTTTTACACCTTCTTTATCAGCATCATCATCTTCCCCACCATCTCTGCTGGTATTGAGTCTGTTGAGAAATACACTGGTAGCATTTGGACCAACAAATATTTCACACCTTTGACTTGTTTCCTGGTTTATAACTTTGCTGACTGGAGTGGACGTCAGATCACAACATGGATCCAGGTCCCTGGACCCAACAGTAAGATGCTGCCAGTGCTGGTTTTCCTCCGAACGTTTTTCATCCCCTTGTTTATGTTTTGTAATTACCAACCTCGGAAACACATGTATGAAGTTTTTTTCAAGAGTGACATCTATCCGATTATCTTCATCACATTACTGGGAATGAGTAATGGTTATTTAGGGACGCTTTCCATGGTGTATGGCCCTAAGGTTGTCCCCAAGGAGCTCTCAGAGGGCACTGCAATAGTGATGTCTTTTTTCCTTGGGTTAGGGTTAGCTATTGGATCTGCTTTCTCTTCTGTTGTTCATTTAATATAGTTAACAGACTCAAACATTTTTAGTTCTTATTTTAAATTAGCAATAATTTTAAAGGGCATTGCAGTAACAGAAGATTTTCTTAGCAAACATTCACTTTTTTATCCTAAACTTTTTTAAAGAAAAATTTGTAATGAATACACGGTATGTACCTGCTTGTTTACAGGTTCCTTTCTATACCTAAGGGTACTGTACTCCAAGTATGGTGTCACATGGTAGAAAATGGCACCTTTTGTTCACTAAACTGTTCATGATAAAGTTACTTGAAGTTCAGTGTATCTGTAGATGCCTATAAATGTGCCAATTAGGAAGTTTAATTTGTTTTCACTTTAAGGTGTCAATGCTTTTTCCATGTTTAGGCAAAAATGTTTTTCCTGCTTAGAGAATCGCCCTTAGGGATTTAAGATGTTACCGATTGTGGTTTGGAAAATACATTCTTTGAGGACCAGATATCTCAGGTCTTGGCAGAGCTGTGTTTCTCAGATTGGCACCAGAAGTGGGGTAGGTCTCCCAGCAAATTCACAGATGCAAGTAAAAATTGTCACAGATGTCAGCCTGTAAAAAAAAAAAAAAAGGTTTTTGGTGATGAAAGATTTCCTTGCCTGACATTGATCAAGCAGCTGAACGCTGATTTTCATAGGTGGTTAAATCCCATCTCGGGGAGAACAAACATTTTCCCTTGCATTGGGGTTGCCACCCTCACTGCAAAAGTCATATTCTTCTTTATGTCTAGGGGCTGAGAAAAGTAATTTTGGCTACCAGATGCTCTGCACCCTCCACAGCTGATGCTCTCCTCTACAGTCTTGCAGTGGACTGTCTCTTGGCATCCTTATGTTCAACTCAGGGCTATTGGCTCTGCATTGGTCTTGATGATGACAGTGGACCTTGAACCATCAGAACATAGGGGATGAGAGAGGTTGCTGGGACTGGTTTTTTACAACCCAGAGCAGTGCACACATAGAGTGCAATACAGTATGTTGCATTAATGTAGGTTATACCAGGGGTTTCCAAACGTATTGTGCTTGTAAAAACAACCCTAAATTCTCAGATGTTTTAATCCTTTCCCATATGCTCTACTTTATAAAACCATTTTCACTAAAGTCAATTTCAAGACTTTCCAACATTTAGGTAGGAGATGAATGTTGAATATCACTTGTGCCATATTGCTGCAATCCACTGTTGTGAATATGAATTCTATTTTAAATATGGACTATTTTGAAGTGGACTAGTTAAAACTGCACTGATCTTAGGACCAAAATGGAATGGGTATTCTTTGCGCACTCCAAGAAGGGCTGAAAGTGGTATGTGTGGCAAGGACTAAAGCTGGAAACCATGTGTGAACATAAGACAAAAATGTGTGTGTGTGTATATATATATATATATATATATATATATAATAAAGACACATATATAATAATTGAAAGACATATATATATAATATTAATATATATATATATATATAAGGTAAGCATCCGTTGTGTGAAGGAGCTCAAGCTTCTGAGCGTGTGGTGTGATCCGGTGTTGGGCAGTGATATTGGTGGCTTCCAGCATATCCTCTCGGTTCTGAGATTCCCTCTGAATGAAGCTTTCCATTCAAAGGGAATCCCGGAATCCAGAGGATATGCTGGAAGCCACCAGCATCACCACCCAACACCGGATCTCCCCACACGCTCAACTTCTCGAGCTCCTTCACACAGCGAATGCTTACTTATATCACAGATCACAAGTGCATTCCATCATACCTTTGTGAGTGGCCTGTATTACTCATTTTTAACCACATTAAAGAGTTTTTAAGCTGCACTTAGCGGGCACCGCTTTTTCTTTACTGGTCTTGGGATCTAATGTTGCTATAGGAGGTACATTTTTTTTTTTTTTTTTGCTTTGGTGAATAATCAGTCTTACATCAAGGGGTTGTAGCCCCCTGACATGACAAATGAACAAAGCAAATCCTTGTATAGCGTATACGTGCTTCAACCCAAGGCAAGTGTATACATTCCTCAACCCAAGCCTTACACCCAAGCTGTGATTTCAAGCTACCCTGTCATTTATTTGCTGTCTTTATGAGTTATTTCTGACAGTCTAACTGGACACCAGACAATCCAGGTAGATGCCCCTCCATGCAGCTCACAGCAAGTGAATGACAGCCTCATCTGTGCATGTTTCCCTATGAGACTGTGTAGAGGGGTGTGTGTTAATTTCCTCCACTCAGGTCCGCTCCAGGTCCAATCCAGTTTAGCCTTAACTCTCCTCTGTTTTGTGCAGTGTGTGACATTAGATCCCTACCCCCTGCTGTGTAAAATGTGTGTTTTTAGGTGGCTGTAGCGTAAATACTGCAGATAAATGGGTACAGCTTCTGTGGGAGTATTTGTTTCATCTCTGTGAATGACCTGGGGCTAATCACATTATTGGTGTATGTAAGGGTTTACAACCACTTTAATTTTCCTGTTGTGTACTAAAACATGAAAGTGAAAATCCCATTTATTGCTGCACACAAGAACTGTTCTTTCTTAAAGTGATATTAAACTCTTTTTATTTTATTTTTATTTTATTCCTTACCTATATTCCCATTTAAGCTGGTGCAATGACCCATGCTTCAGGTTTCCTGTTTCAGAATGGCTTCTTTCTCTTGCAGTGTTCTACAGAGCCACCCTTGTATGCAGGGACTAAAATGCTATCTTTCTACACGGTGCGCATCAATAGAAACACATAGCCCTAGAAAAGTAAGGCGCACTCTGAGCCTCCTTCCCTCCCCTTCCCATCTCCAAGCTAACAGACTGACTCAAGACTGCGCTGTCCACTGTTAACTCTCTCCTCTGAAGATTGGATGTTCAGGGAATCAGCACTAAGGGAGCAAGAACCAGCAGCATTGAAAGTTGTAAAATGCATCTGCTGGAGTAAGAATATTAACACATCGTTTACTGGGGAATGTTTGTCTTATTGTTCTAAATGGGTTAAGCTAAAGAACGCTGAGGGTTTAGTACTACTTTAGGCATTCATTTATAAATGAAAAGACTGAAATGCTGTGCTGTACCAATACAAAAAAGAAAACAAATTAACCACTCTGCTCAAAAATTTGGAGTAGAATTTTCTTTTTAAATAAATATATCTTATTTTCAAGATATTGTTATATCTATCGATGATCACTATAGATTATGATTGGTAGGATAGGTATCTTTTGCTTTAAAACATGTACTCCTATTTTGTCATTCTAGACATTCTCAAAGACATATGTAGAGAATGAATGAAAATTGTGGTTTCATGTATTTGGTATGTTAAATTCTTTTAAATGGTATTTGTCAGGGCTCCGAGTATGACCAGAGGTGTGTGGACTGACACAGGGAAACGCAGGCTTCAGATATAGTATAAACAATATAATTTATTTAAGACTAAACAATACATAAACGCAGTGCAAACAAACCAAACCAAAACCCCCAACAGATAACAAAAGAACAATACTAAGCATAGTTGGGCAGGCCGGGTCGGTAGAAAACGGGCAAGCAAGGTACAAAGGAGCAGGCAGAGCGTAGTCAGACGGGCCGGGTCAGGAACAATCAGGCAGACAAGGTACAAAGGAGCAGACTGGAGAGTGGTCAGGAATAGCAGAGGTCAGGACAGGCGGAGTTCAATCAGAGTCGGGGATCAAGCAGGATCAGACAGGAAGCAGACAGGATGCAGGTACAGGGGCTCTTGGGAAACATACACCAAAGCCCAGATCACAGGCCTGGTCATTCCTTATATGCATCTTCTGCAATAAGCCTCAGGTGTTTTGGCTGACTGCAGGAGTGAGCCTCTGGTTGCTGAGAGCACCCACTGGCCAGTCCTGGTACTGCAACCCACAAGGCAGGTGAGTCCCACCACTATTGGCGAGTCCATTCCTGACAGTATTGATGTAAATACATGATATTCTTTTCTACAACAAAGTCTGAATATATGGTGTTAAGGCCATTTTGGTTGTTCATTGAATTTTAGACTGTATACAACACATACATTTTTCCTAAAGTGTGCTCTTCGTATCCATTCAAATACTCTTGCTATGTTTTTATGCCTGACCAAGGGTGGCGTATGAATAAATACAAAGTACTTGCACTGCGTGTGTTGCAAAAAAAAAAAAAAAGAATTCCATCATCAAACTCTTTAACTATGAACATGTAACATGAATCAATACCAACTAGTATTCCAGCCTCAAACACCATATATATGAACATGAAACAATCAATACCGACTAAAAGAAAATAAAGCACTTAAAGAAATATAATATTCTATATTGTTATGAAAATGGTTACAAAGCTGTAGACTGTTGTGACAAACTGCAATGAAAACAGTTTGGTTGTTTTTTGTTACTTGGCCCTGAGTTTTTTTGTTTTTTTTTTTTGTACGGACTCGTTGATCTGTTCAACTAAGGTAAGTCACAACTCTCCATGCCTATAAAACACAGTCACTTTTGTAAGGGGCAAGATGTATCAAAGAGCTGGACCTCAGAATTTAATTTCACTGCTCAGTGCTAGAAATGTGTGCTGAAGAGTAGCAAGTTCTCTTCAGCTTGGTTGGGTCAGATAAAGTATTACTTTAGACAGAAGGTAATTGGATTGTGAAATAGGCTGCGGTGAGATGTAGCAGGCAGTATGGCAGCATTAAAATGATTCAGAAAACAGTTTAGATAGTAGAGAACACAGAGATCACTAACTAGGAGTGCTGCCACAGCAGAAGGATGACCTAGTCTCTCACTGACCTTAAGAGAAACTTGTGGATCTTGATGTGAAGTTCAGTAGCATTTCCATCAAGCGATGTACTGTAATTGCAAGATTTCACACTAGTTAAGAAAACCATTCTCCTTTCTATTTAAACAATTGCCATGAAGAATTCATTACTTCCAACCAAAATAGGTTATATTTTTTGCAATTCGAGGGGAATATCATTTTAGGGCTAAATAATGTTATCCTGGTCAAATGTAGTAATTATCCAATAATAAACTACCAATTGGCCAAGTTAACTTTTCCAAAAAA